CTCGTGGTGCTCACCATGCTCGTTTGGGGTTTTTCATGCTCGTGGTGCTCACCATGCTCGTGGGGTTTTCGTGCTCGTGGTGCTCGTCGTGTTTGTGGGGTTTTTCATGCTCATGGTGCTCACCATGCTCGTGGGGTTTTTCGTGCTCGTGGTGCTCGTCGTGGTGATGATCCTCAGGATGCTTCACGGCCGCCTGAGCTTTGGAAGTTACATCTTCAAGCTCATCCCACTGCTCTCCAGCCGACATCCTTCCCAACAACTGAAATAAAACAACAACAATAGGCTATATATCTTCCTTTTAAAAGAAAAGGGCTCGAGAAGGTTTTTATTTCTCCGTGTGCTTTTTCACCGATAATGGGAGGCAATAACAACAGGCAACGCAGAAGTCCGATCTTTCATTTTTAAAAAAAGACACGTGCCCAATACAAAAAAAGGACAAGCAAAAAGGATAACAGAACGAAAAAAAAAATACGTATTTGCACATCCATTAAAAAACGGAGGAAAAAAGATAACTTTATTATTGTTATTGTTTCTTTGCTTATTTGTGTGTGTGTGTCTTTTTTTGCTTCGGTATCCGCCATCCATCGACGCCGCTTATCAAAAATCGTGATAACAAATAATAATTCATGGGGGGGACCCACCGACAGATGAATCTCTCAAAGCAGGGCAATTAAAAAAATAATAATAAAACAAAAAATATGGCACCCACAAAAAAAGAGACGATTGAACGTCAATTATGTCCCTCAGACTCCTTTGCGCCCCAAAAAGCTTCCCAAAATGAAACCGAGTAGGCTAAGCCGAAACGTCTTTGAAGGCTCCAAACCCCACCCGTTCTTTTCTGTAGTTGCACAAAGGCAATTAAGGTCAGACATATACACATAAGCAAAGAGAAAAAAAAACACTTCGTATTGCCAAAAGAAAATTAATCAACAGTTTAATTAATTTAATCATTCTCAATTTCGCAGGATGGATTATTTTCCTTCGTTTTTTTTTGTTTGCGGCTTAAGTGAAGCATAATACCAAATAAAAATAGGAAATCGTATTATATATATATATATATATATAATACTGTGGT